AAAACCTCTTTTTTCTCAGCAGTCATGTGTTGCATATTATATTTAGGCTGAGTGGTACAGGTTAGCCGTAAAACTGGAAATTTGAAAAGATGGTGAAATGAAATAAAAACATTAAATAACTTTAATATTTTGTATCATTGAGGTAATAATTTTATATGTAAAAATTTAGTGTGCTTGAAATATTTCAGACCTGGTAAAGTACACTGAACAGCAAAAAGGTGAAAACTGAGTGTGATTGGTTTACCCTGAAAAATTATTCATTAAGCTTTTGCTGTATAGTTTGAGCGAATACGATGAATGGGTGAATATATACTGAAAATTATTTAAGAAATTACATGTAGTTGCAATTGCCATCTCAACTAAAAATATTAACATTGCAGTATTTTTGTCTCTCTGACATGTTTGTCCTCTTCTGGCGTTCTGGAGCATGTCTGGTGCTGCACTGTCGATGCTTTGCCAGATGACAGAGACCTGAGTTAGCTGCCACCTTACTGGCAGCATACATAGAAAAGGAGATAGAAAAAGAACTGGAATGAAGGAATGATGTAGACTAATATGGAACTGCAGATAGCTGCAGTACAGCATTTCCTAAGTTTTGAATGCAACTCCTTTTTTTCCCCTCCTATTTTCTCTCTGTCTTTTAGTTTGGGGTTTTTTGTTTGTTGTTATTCTTTGTTTATAAAACTATTTTCATAACTGAAATGCTTTCTAAATGAGAAACCATAAGAAGACCACAATTGTCTTTTCACATTTTGCAAGACTAAAAGAAAATATTGTAAATGGAAATTCACCATTTTGTCTAGTTCTTCTTCATTTTCTTTTATTTCCTGTACTGTTTCCCAAAAATAGAGCAAGGCCTATGGCACATTTGGCTTCAAAGCTTATGAAATCACTTTGCTATGTGAGCATTTCTGATCTTACTAAAATGGACAAAAGGAGGAGTAAACTGGGTAAAAGGAAGCAAGGAGATCTCAGCTTTTGAAGATGCAAGAAGTGTGTGCATAAGCCATGTTAGCTCTTGAGGTCACTGAATAGGCTGTTCAGAACTGCTGCTATACTGAAGCCATTCACTTTGCATTAGGAAAAATAAAAACAGAAAGTCTGTCTCCAGTGTGTGTGTAGGTTAAGATGTACTGATGCAACTGCTGTGTTAATGGTGAAAGTGTGGTGTAGTGCTCTGGTTTTTGGAGAGAAGATCACTGAGACTGGCAGAAGGGGGAGCCTTTGCAGTATAACTCATTTTGATCATTAGTCTCAACTGGTGCTCACGACAGCCGTGCTCCTGGGCTTTTGCAAATCCAGTGTAAAGAGGATAGAAGAACATCTTTAAAGATAAGTGCAAGGTTATAACAGCAAGATCCTCAGGGAAGCATTATTGCAAGCTCTGCTGCCGCACAGTGCCTCAGTGTGTATGTTTTCAGTATGACTGCGAGTACAACTACTGCAGTTTTCTTCCTATTTTCACTTCCATTCATGTCTCTTTGTCTCCTTGATAATCAGGCAAATTGAAAGCTAATATTTTTATGATATTGCTGCCTCTTAGATTTTGTTGCTCACCTTGTAGCTCTTTGAAAGGCTTGTCTTCTGAGCATATCAAATATCTGTAAGGTGAATTCATTGAGTCAGGATTTGCTTGTATTTCTCTGTGGACAATACTGAACATTCTTTTACCCACATTTTTTATACAGGGAGACAGTATGAATGGAAACCATACTGGAACATGTGAATTTTCTTTCTGTAGTGAATAGATTACATATTCTACAGAGATGGCTTTCATGAACAGTGGTGTTCAATTCTTGATCACAGGGATTGAATGAGCACCTGTTGTGTCATAGTGGAGGAGACAAGATCAATAGTGCTTCATCTTCATGGGAATGGGACAAAGAGGCAGGTCATAGAGAGGTGGAGAACAAGGAACTTGGAAGCTGAGCCAGAAGATTCTGGCTGAGTCACAGTAGCAAAATTATAACAAAATATACACAGAAGGTCAGAATACCTGATACTTAAACTCATGTTCTCATTCTTTTAGTTGATTAATTGTGTAATCCTTTGCAATAGAAGAAAAACTAGTCTTTTTATCCTTCACTGGGGTTTAATAAGTTATTCTAAGCTTCTAAAAATATCTTCTCAGTTTATAGTCATCTTACTTGCTGAAGATTTTTGGCAGGGTCCTCAGAATACTTATTTGATCTAAAGCTGAAGTTCTTGTCTAATTCTAAATTTAGTATGCTTCCCACGCCTTGCCAAAATAATTAGGGGAAAGGTAAGAATTGAGTTCAAGAACTGCATGACCTGGCATTTCTAGGAAGAGATGTTTTAAATGTGATCATTTAACCTCTTAGGAGATAAAAGAGATCTCAGAGATCTTGGTTTTAATTTTAACTGTTTTTGTGGCAGGTAAAGGCAGTCAAGAGAAATTTTTTGCCATTCCATTTAAACTCATAGCAGAAGGCAGCCGATCATCTAATAATTCTATAATTATTCATAATTTAATTATTCCAGATTATTTGCAAACATCTTCACCTCCAGAAATTATTACCTCATGTAATTACCTCATGAATGGTTAAGGTGTCTGAGGCCAAAAGCTATTGCTGCTGCCTTTTATTTATAAATTAACAATGTAAAATTGTATTTCAAAATCTTGTAGTTGACTGAATTTAGCCTGAAATCAGTTTAAATCAAAATTTTGATACTTCTAGGTTAAAAAGTACTTGCTAATATAATTAAATAATTTTTACTCTCTTATTTATTCCAAGACTACTTCATGGTCAGGTGGGCAAAATTGTATAATTTCTCTTACCATAATCTGAATTAATTAAATTAAGTAATGACTTTTTTTATACATATACTTATTTTCTGTTGTTTAAATAGTAAAGTTTTTTAGAAAATAGTTAAAAATTACTATGAAAATTAAACTCCAATTTAATAGCAATTAAGATTATGAGCAATGTATTTGAACTTGAGCAAGACAGTTAAATGCTAGAAAAGTTAGCAAATGACTGGGTGAATTAAGGGGGGAAAAGCTACATGTCTTTTTTTGTAATTTACAGATATTTTTCCTGCTAATTAGGTCAAAGCAAAAGGAAGGGGCTATTCTGGTTCTGAATATGCAGGAGAAGACTCTCTAAACATGACAAGATTATTTAAATGTTGAAATGTCAAGGGGAAAAAAAATAAGAAAATCTATCAAGTCTGGCATTCAGTAGTCATGGATAACTATTCAATATATAATATAGCATGCAGAAATGTCTTTTTTTATGTAATTCTTTCTTTTTGGGTGTGAGCAAAGTGATCCTCTGTGGTCAGCAAGAAAGATGCCTTGAACTAATAAATTATTTTAAAGAATTAATAGCTGAATTCTGCTAGAGGGCTACGTTGAATAAGCAGTTTTGTTGGCATTGCATTTTAGCTGGTGTAGCCAAGGAACAGAGGCAAACTAACTGGCACACGTAACAAAATTTGTGTCTTGTACAAGTGTATCTCATAGCTTATATCCTGTTTTATTCCCTTGAATGTATTGTATTTTGCCTAATAAAGGGCTAGCAAACTTGGACTAATAATCAGATAATTATCAGATCTTTAGATGTGGAGAAGAAAATCTTAGAAGCTTCCAACATTTTACTACATTGTTTATTTTGGAGTGTATTGCCACATGAAATTAAAATATTACAGAGACTTCTAGCCAAATGTGACTTACAGTATCCTTTTAAAATTGCTTCCAGATGTTTAAAAGCAAAATCTTTTTAGTATGTTCAGAAAGCCTGGGAAATGTTACATTTTGAATAAAGTTAATGCTCAATCAGAAATCTTGCACGTAAAAAACAGTAGTATTATAATTATCAATATTATTGTTATTATGCTTAATTGCACTAAAGATGCTTCCTTAACAAAGTTTTGGGTTTTGTTTGTTTGTTTGTTTTTTTTTTAATACCTTTGGCCTTGAATGAGTGGGCGGAAAAAAACAGGCTATAGAAACTTATGTAGGTACAAGCTGTAATCCCAGCTAGTTTATACTCAAACATGAAATTAACTTTATTACTCCATTTCTCTTTTCTCTTTCAGTAGATCTATTTCATCTCTTTATCCATATAATGTGAATTGAACTTTGGCATTTTTTACATCTGACATTTTAGAGCTTAAGCAACTTAATATTCTTACAATGTGGATTTTACTTCAGCTTGCGTATGTTACTATTTTTTATAGTCTATTTCTGGCTAAACTCACAAAGCATTGTCATAGTTCAAACCACGAAGGTTTTATCCTTCTATATATTATATAACACATGCTTTCCTTACATTTTCTGATTGGATAACAAAAGAAATCACTTTGATAATGAAATCTGACCCTATAAGAGGAGTAAGTATCTTCTTGGTCTTTATAAGCTTCACTTCTCTGAATTGCTGCTTGTGACACTGCATTTTAGTTTGGAGCACTCCACCACTCTGTATACAATACAATTTTAATCAGAATAGTTATGGGGATTTTTTGTTACTATTCTTTTATTCAGAGTTTCTCCCAAGAAATGCAGCAAAGTTTCTCAAAGACTATAACAATCTTATGATTCAAAAAACAAAGGTTCATTCCAGGAGTTGACAGGCTAGACTCTGTATTAACTTTGTGTGACATCTTTGGAAGAAGTTGTTTCATCTCTTGCTAGTGTCTTGATTTTCCCTTCAGAAAAATTTTATAGGAAATTGATGCTACAACAATTCATGGTTTTTTGTTCCTACTTCACAGTACAGCAGGCACATAAAATATATTCATATATTTTCTTGAAAATTGTCTTGATCTTAATTAATCAGGTTCCAGAGCACTTACAATCATTATGTAGAGCTATTTTATATTGAAGACTTACTATCAGATACATTTCTTAAGAATTTTTTTTTATTTAATATGTTTTACTTCTAATAATTCAGGTTTTCAATACACATTGTGATACCTAAATACTCATGTCCTGTGTGTAGCTACAAATTCTTATTGCTCTCTCCTCACCTTGGCAGGACGAACTCTGCTGGAAAAGCTCTTCAGCCAGCAGGAAAATGCACCACAAGAAGAAGCAGAAAAATTGTGTTCTCGAATTATTGCAATGGGTCTTTTGCTTCCATTCACTGACTGCTTCAGAGAGCCATGTAACCAGAGTGCCAAGCAAAGCACACCCACGTTTGATGTAAGTACTGAAAAACTTGCCTTTTGTCTCTTTTGTGAAGCAGGACATGATTTTCTAATAGTTTATCCCTCCTGAAAGAATTTGATTTGTCATTTTAATGAAAATTGCCCTTAGGAGAGTGAGCAGCTATTTTTCTGTGCTCAGGTATGTACACTTTTGTATCCATTTAAACATGTTCTCCCATAACTTGATTTCATAACTTTTTAAGTCATATCATAAGCGCTAGTCTGTCCTTCTTTTATAGTTTTCATTGTTGCCTTCTTTGAATCAAATAACTTTGTATGATTACCAAGATTTCCATCAATAACTGCTTCACCAAAGAAATATATATCAAAGGAAAAACAGAAAACAGCACGTCACAAAATTTCACAGAACACAAACTAGATGTCTATGCTAGTTTTTATGGGTTTTTTGGGTTTTTTTCCCAGAAAATACTTTTGATACAAAATAGTGCAGGGGTCAGTGCAAATATGCTGGCATTCCAGCTGCAGTGTTATCTGTACCTGTGGGCTATCTGGCCGGGTGTTGCAAACCTCAGTGCAGACGTAACCTTACATACTTTTCCTTTCTCTTGGATAATTAATTCAACAATTGGGATCTTCTTGTTGTAACCCATGGCATTTTGTACTGTTTTATGTGGCTAAGGATAATTAGGGTTTTTCTCTCTACTAATTAGCTTCAAAATAGTGTACAAATATAAACTAATCTAGTTAATGTCTTGCTGATATAGTTAAGATCATCCCTACTCTACACATTAAGCTGAAGTTTGGTTACAAACACTCAAAAAATTGGCATAGATATGAGAAAACATTTTTACTTCCTAACTCTTTAAATCTTTCTGATCTTTCCTGAAGAATAGTTTAACACAACTGGTGAAAGGAAAACTGAGAGAATAATTTTTTTTCAATGAATTCTTATAAGAGCTTTCCTAAATAACCCAGTTTATCTACAAAGTTCTCTAACAATATAATATGTTTATATTTTGGCTGTGGTTTTTTTTTTTTTTTTTAAGATGCAACATTTGAAGGATTTTTTAAACTAGTTTTTGAAATTAAGTGAAAAATGCAGTCTAACTATCAAACTCAGACAACTTTAAATCACACAGCATTTGAAAGTGCTTATGGTTAAACATCCTCGTAAAGGTTACTGGAATAGACAACTTTCTTATTTTTCATGTTGTTTAGAAGAGTCAGGTAGTGTTTTCCACTCTTCTGTTGTTACCATATATTCAGCAATCTCCTTCAGATTATTGAATACCATATTTTTAAAAAGCTTCCTTTGCATTCTAAATAGATGATTTATCAGATTCAAAGTTTGCAAATAAACAGAAAATACTCTTTTTTTAAACTGATATACCATGCTTGTTCTGAGTAGCAGATATTTTAGTTATCTTTTGTTTAACATAGCTGAAAGGAGGGGCATAGTAGTAGCCTAGTGTCACATCAGCCATCTGCCAAGGTCAGGAATTTAAGATGTTGCTGGATTAACAGTGATCTTAATTTGACTCGCTCTATCAGTAAGCCACAAATGTCACAGTTTCTGTGACTATTTTTCTGTATAAATCCCCTAAATAGATCACACTCCTGGTAAAACAATACCAGAATTGGTGTACAGCCCTGTTATGTAACCAGTGAACTCATTGTACTTCAAATGAGCATACAGCTGTCTTGAACACCAGATCTCCATAACTGAATTCCATGTGGTTCGTAGCTGAGAGCTGCTGATGCTGGCTTTTGGAATATGCTTCTACTCCAGCCTTGGTGACCAAGGACAGTACAGGAACATCTATCAGTTTATTCATTATATGTTCTCATGAATAAAAATATCTAGAAATTGCAGTATAAATTGTAATGGCTGAAATCTTGAAAATTGTGCATCTCCTTGCTTCTTAGAGTAAATTTAAAGTATTTTACAGGAATAAATGCTAATTGTTATGTTAGGGAATAAAACATTTAAAAATTAGCTTGGAAAAAATTATGGTGATGCTGAATATTACTTTAAAAAGACATGTAAGATTGGTTAGTAGTGTCCTCTCTTACATCTCTCTCCATGTACATGTGTGTACTTTGGAGTTTTTTCCTATTCACATTTTTCTTGTTTGTTTGCTTGCATTTTTTAAATTAATTAGAGCAAAAATTTAATATTGACCTAACAGCTTATTTTAAAGATGTAGGAATCAGGACTTAATTAAGAGCTAGCCTTCATACCTAAATTTCACCCATCTAGATTTAAGATGTACATCTTTTTTGACCTTACTCCAAAATTAGGAGGAGAGCCCGATCCATATTTGAAGTTCGTGTCTAAGTTCATCAGACCCCTAGCTCAATTATGGATTGCCTCCAGCTTGGTTGATATCCTTTTCACTTAGCTGAAACTGCCATCAGCAATGCTCCTGTAGCCCTGTCCTGGTCCCTGCCTTGTCCCTGGTACCTTGTTGGCCTTCCTCCCTTCTTTATTGAAGCCATGGTGCTTGCTGTTCCTTAGTGTAACTTCTTTGGCGATCTTGATTTTCATTTTAGTCTGGTGCTTGTAAAGTCTCTTAGGTCACTCTTTCAGAATATATCTCTTTTTTTTTTTTTTTTTTTTTTTTTTTTCAGAATTCAACATGTTTTCCACTGAAACCCATCTTTGAATCCTTTTCTCCTTTTGTGACTTATCCCTTGTATTTCTGAACTTTAAAGTACTATTTTTTTTAATTGAATAAAATCCATGATTCCCTTCTTGTTTAAGTGTGGTCCTGCAGACTTGATGTTTTTAAGATGTTAGGTTAGAGTCTATGAAAACAATTCAATAAGTTTTGTTTACTCTATGATCTATTGCTCATGGCTTGAGATGGATATGATCAGATTATTTAAAAGTCCTATTCTCCCCCTCTGATGCCCTTTCCTGGATGGCCTCTAGTGAATTTAATTTAACATGGCTAATGCTGAAATCTCTTGAAATGTTTGCAATTGCACATTTTGATTATATTCTCATTTTCTTTATTATTCATGCCTGCTGGTCACCTCTACTTCTCCCTGTCTTAGAAATGTTTATCCAAATTTTTTGTCTGTTTTCTCAGTAATGCAAGAGGTCTGGTTTGCTTTTTTCTCCCAAGATATTCCAGGCTTCAGTGTAGGCCATTAAAAAATAGTACAAGCCCTCTTTTTGATTTCTCTTTGGATCCTATTTCTTTCTCTTCCCCTTTGTCTGGCTGCAATTAAGCAGTGCATTAAAAGTAAAGACAACTTTCACAGCTCTTAGTTTCTTAGGCTAGTTTTATAATGGCTCCTAAAATTCAGTTTAATTGAAATTCTTGGCACTTGTGTCCCTGGTGTTCACTATGGTTTGTGGATGTGATGCTTATGCCTTTTTTTCATATATGGCAAACATGAAGGATCAACAAACGCCAAATGAGTGCACAAATCTTCAGAGAACTGGCAGCTGTCACCACATTAATGCTGAGGATAGTGTCCACTTTCCAAAGGCTTTTATATTACTCAGGTCTTAATGATGATTGGACATGACATGTTCATGAAGTATCTCTGACCTTTTTGTCTAATTAGCCCAAAGATCAGAAATTTTAGAACTGTTTTAATAACTTATGAGAAAAGTTGCATGTTCAATCTTGGCCTGTTTTATCAATTATTTCTTTTGAAACAGCTGATGGCAGTTGCCCAGAATAAAAGATTAGTCTGAAAAATGCAAGTTGAACAAAGCTTTAAAAGTAACATAAATAGACAAAGTTTGGTGTTTTTAAGATTTGGCTGTTCAGAATCAGTGGAAGCTTTTGTTATAGCTCTTCCTACCTATTCTCACAATATAAAGAGTAAGTAAATGTTCAGTGGCAGGTTCTCTGTCTACACATACGTTATAGTCTAGACATACTGCTAGTTTCCCGTTTGCATGGGAGGCTGCTAATTATTGCTTCATTTATGTTATGACATCTTACTCATCAGGCTATCTTTAGTTTTAATGCTTCTGCTAGTATTTTATAAAATAAAAACAAAGTCGAGCATGTAAATGGGAAACTTAGATAGATTAGTAAAAGCCTACAGAAAGTGTGTTCTCTGAAAAAATTTCTTGCCTTTTGAATAGCTATTGCCTTTTAAATTTTTCCCTTTTTAGCAGTTGTGAGTTATTCAAGAGGGTTTTTAAAGATTCAAATTAGAACAAAGTATCTTCTGAGTGAATGATATGCAAGACATTAATGCCTTCTGAAAAAGTCTTCCATTCATAAACCATAGAATCATAGAATTGTTAAGATTGGCAAAGACATCTAAGATCATCAAGTGCAACCTTTAACCCAGCACCATCATGTCCACCATTAAACATATTACTAAGTGCCACATCCACATTCCTTTTGAAAGCTTCCAGGTATGGTAATTCCACCACTTCCCTGGGCAGCCTGCCTGTTCAATGCCTGACTACCCTTTCCAGGATGAAATCTTATCCAACCTAAACCTCCCCTGGTGCAGCTTGAGGCCTTTGCCCCTTGTCTTGTCACTTGTCACAGTGAGAGCTACCTACCTTCCTACATGTAGTGCAGCTGTAACTTCAAGCTTTTTAGCATGGTACCTCGTTATATTATCTTAGTAGAGTAAAATAATGCTGAAATTGACATGTCTAAAGAGTGCATCTTCTGCAAGAATGTAACAACAGGCAGGTTTTTCCTTCTTGTTGGAGGATCACATCTGCTTAGCTCCCCTCTAAATAATCACCAAAGGTATAAGATAACTATCTTCAGAGAGCCATCAGTAATATGTATAAATTATAAATATTTGCATTAGAATCTAAATTGTTCATACCAAGGAAGGAGCTGGCATTTTCCTATCAATATGAGGCAACTTTCTTTAACATCTCAGAGCTAAGAAATACTGACTGCTGTTTGAATTTTATCTAGTAGTTGCAATTAACACACACTGTGGATGTTGTGTCCCTAATTATGACTTCCCATTTCAGATTTTCCAGTTCATGTTGTAGAGTCTTAAACTATGGGCAGTTTTTTCTTTCATAACAAG